CCCTTATCTTTCTCTTTTTGTTGTTTGTATCCGGTCTCGAACTCGTCTCTTTGTCTTCATCTGTTCCTCTCGGTGTTAGTCTGTTCTTCTCTCTTTTTCTTGTTTTGCTATTACACCCCTCAATCTCCTGTTTCATCGACCAACTTCTCGATATGGTTCCCTCCCCCTCCGTCTGTATGAATCTCTATTGCGTCCCCCCCCCCGCCTGTGTCCACGTATGGTTACTCTTTTGTTTTCTACCTTCTCTGTCCGTCTTTGTGAATGTGGAGTGAACTCGGTACACTAAGTGGTTGCAGTAATAGTCAGTCTAGTTGTTGTGAGGGACAAGCGAGTAGAAGTGACGGAGGAGGAGAAGAATGGACTGACCCGTCCGCAAACAAGGCCCGGTCCGCGCGGACAGAGGCCCCGCCCGGCGCCGGTCGCTGTCGTCCCGGGACCGGGGCGACGTACAACTCGTACACCGCCGACGGGGACCGACGACCTCGGGACGGACCGGGTAGACGGGTCCTCGACGGACGAACCTTCTGCTCGACGAACCCCGCCGGTCGACGACAACGACGACGGGGAACAACGGATATCCTCTCCGTTCCCTCCCTCCTCCTCCTTCCTCCTCTCTCTCCCTCCCTTCTTTAATGTTTGTTTAATTGTTGACTCTCCTCTCCAAACGCCTCCAGACGTGAGTGAGTGACGGACACTGGAATCGATTGGAGAAGAGGAGGTCCGAGACGGAGAGACAGACACGATGAATCGGGACCGGACCGAGACGAAAAAAAGACCCGACAATGGTTTCACCAACAACGGAGAGAACACACCGACTGCGTGTGTGTGTTTGTCTGTGTTTCGACACACACCTAGGTGGCCGAGAGCTCGTGGCAGTCACAGACACGAACACTAACACAATACTATGATTCGGAAGACCATATTAGGGGTGGGGGGAAGGGGGGTAGGGTGTTGGGGGGGGGGGGGGGGGGGGGAACCTATCAATTAACAGAGCGGAGGTGACTACCAGACAAGTTCGAATACACCGGTCTCCCTCGTCCGTCTTACTCTAAATGTCTTAGCGCGGTTACGTCCTGTGTTCACGTTTGTGTGTGGTGTGTGTGTGTGTGTGTGTGTGTGTGTGTGTGGTGTGTGTTGTGTGGTGTGTGTGTGTGTGGTGTGTGTGGTGTGTTGGTGTGTGTGTGTGTGTGTGTGTGTGTGTGTGTGTGTGTGTGTGTGGTGTTTATATAAACGTGGGTGACGGTGTTGCGGACGGGCGAGGGTGGGAGAGAGACGAGGTGGAGCGACGGAGTGTCTCAACAAATAGCGACCCGGTCCGTCCGTTAACGCATTCGGGACACGTTTTGTTGTTATTTTTTGTTGTTGTCCTTACTTTTTGTAGCTTGAGTCACTGCGCCCGTTTGTTTCAGTCTCCCTCACCTAAAATCCTTTCTCTGTTTTGTAAGACTTACCCCATTTGGTCCAAATATTAACGTAAATAATGTAAACTCCCTACTATATCAGAAAAATCACACACTAACAGGTTTTGTACAATAAATAGATGTACAACATACACCGTGCGCGTCGGACAGTAACAAGCCATACCTCCACCCCTGGACGTCCTCGCACCCTCCACCTCCCCTTTGAACACTACGCGGAGTGACCTTTTTGTCCGACGTATTACCCTCACTACCTTCTCCGTCAACAGGCGGTTTGGACGGAGTTCTCTTTATTCCTTCGTTAAAGATAAGGTATAACTACCGCCCCGACCCCGGGGGGACTTTTTGAGATAAGTCTTTATTTTGTCTTTGTTTCGGCGGCCCTCAGTCGCCGCCGAAGGACATCCCAGCCGTATTACCTGACGGCGTTGTGTAGTTCCTCCCTCCTCATACACCTACGGACAAGAGACTGGTTTAAACTGACGAAGGTGCGCAATGCCATCTACCACCCGGACTAGTGAAGATGCCGAATGTGGGTTTTACAACGATTTCGACAGTACGAGTAGAGAAGAAGAGACTGCCGGTTTTTCTGTTCCTGGCTCTGTGCAGACAGATGCCGTACCGACAGTGCCACTAAATAACTCGTGACACCACCACAAACGATTGCGGGTGTCTTTTCGAGCAATTGTTCAACCTGTAACTTCAGTAGACTTCACTAATCTTATCTTTCCTTTTCACCCGAACCCCCCCCCTCTCCCTCTCCCCTCCTTCATTTGCCCGGTTTGTGTTGTTGTTATTGTTGTTTACTGCCTTCTCTGAGAGCCAGGAGAAGAATAAAAGAACAGAGAGAGGAGAGCTAGCTTATATTTCTTCTCCTGAGCCGAGTAAACACCTATGTTTATTGTTTACCAGCAAAATGGCGCAGACAGAAACAACTAGCAGGGAGATGTTAGAAAGGAATCAAAGTAAGTGAATATTTCTAAATGAGTTGCCAAGCTGAAAACAAGCAGTGGACACAGATTGTTAAACTCAGATAGAAAATCATTACTTGATGCTTCTTTCATTGAAAACACACACATCTTAGTAGGTAGGTAAGACACACTTGGTTTTATTGAGCTGTATCAGTTCAAACTCAGGTTAGCTTTGAGGAAGAACAGGATGATAGTCCCTGAAGAAAAAGTCCTTGCACTTTTTTGGTTGTTGAATAAAGTTTAGAGTTCAGCTTTTGTCTCACACACACGACACACAGGTTTTGCATGTATGCTCTAACTTTGTCCTTCTTGATTTCCCTCTAGCTGGCCTGAGCCCCGCTGAGCTGCAGCAGCTGTGGAAGGATGTGACCGGAGGCGGTGGTCACGCCATGGAGGACAACGGCATCAAACACAGCAACAGCGGCAACGGCAACGGAGGGGGCGGCAACGGAGGGGGCGGTGGCGGCGGTGGTGGGTTAGACCTCTCCACCAACAACTCTTCCTCAACTACCTCCTCCTGCAACCCCGCCAAAGCTTCGCCGCCCATCTCCCACCATTCCATCGCCAACGGACAGTCCCCCGGCCTCAACCACAGAAGAGAGAGGGAACGGGAACGGGAAAGGGAGCGAGAGAGGTACAAAATATGACTCCGCCTCGGCCGAGAAGATGAAAAGTTTACACCCGTCACACACGCTCTTGTTTCATGATTCAATATAGAAACACATCAGAGTATTTGTCCCTGTGCTACAACAGGGACAAATGTTTATTTGTTCAATAGTTTATTAGTGTTTTGGTAAAAAAAAAAAAAGAAGAGCCTTGTTCTCCCAGGGGAGCCCGCGTGCCATTGAACACACTTAGCTTGCACACGGATATCAAACGCAGGGAGAGGAAGCCATGCAGGCAGGCGCTCTCACTACAAGCCTCTCTGGCAGGCGAGACAAGGTAACCTCCTTGTACATTAAGTATTTAGTGCTTTCTCTCTTTTTTTTTCACCTCTTTTGAAAATTACCTTCTTTGCTTGCTTGTCATGTAAACAGAATACGTGATGCCTTGAGTGGCATTTCCAGGATGTTTATCCTTGTGATGGCGTCTTTTATAAATGCACCCAGCACCAAAACACTGACTGTTCACATATCCGCCTATCTGGCCCATGCATTATTCAAAGGCTTTTCTTGGGCGATATTATAATAAGGACTTAGGGTTGCGCTGTGTGTGTGTGTGTGTGTGTGTGTGTGTGTGTGTGTGTGTGTGTGTGTGTGTGTGTGTGTGTGTGTGTGTGTGTGTGTGTGTGTGTGTGTGTGTGTGTGTGTGTGTGTGTGTGTGTGTGTGTGTGTGTGTGTGTGTGTGTGTGTGTGTGTGTGTGTGTGTGTGTGTGTCTGCTCGGTAGAGACTCACACTAGAGGTGGAAGTGCTGTGTAATTGGTTTAAAGTAGATGCTATCTCTCCAGCACCACTAAAAGGAGGCTTGAAAAAGATACCTTCAGAGGGAAGACAGAGAGGAAGAGAGAGGTAGGGAGGGAATGAGAAGAGAAGGAAGAAGGGGAAGAAAAGAATGTTTTTGTTATCTGCTTGTGTCCCGAGGGGCGTGTGGTGTCTCATAATGATCGAACACGGAGTATTGTCAGGAGCACTGCTTACTAACATGCCATGGATCGATGTGGGGAAAGCCCTTCTGTAAAAAAAACAGTGTGAGCTCCTCCAGCGCTGACACACACATATTCATGGACCACACACATGCACATAGGCATCGACCACACACATGCCTAACCTATAAGCAGACAAACACACACATACTGTACGCAACACACTCCTCTCCTAAAGGTTAAACTGTCATCTTTAATAGGATGTGCTGTCTAGGCAGGGTCGTAACTTATTTGGGTGCCATTTGAAAAACGCCGGAGCACCCCCTGCCCCCGTTGTCCTCAAAAGAACATAAGTTACACAGAGTATTAATCTCCTGATGAAAATGATATTGGCTGTCTGGATTTTTAATGTTGACTTGAAAGCGGCCACCACCCTCCTCCCTATAATGGCTTTACAAGATGGGATGGTGGCTCCGGCTCAGTCTCCATTGCTTAAAGTCATTCATATTGTAATCGTTTAGATTGATTGGAGATGAACAGTTTAATTGAATAGCACTCTAAAATATTCCTCGCAACCAAGTTTTCCTGTTTTAATCGACCTTCCGATATGTTTTTCTTTCACTCTGGCTCAATTTTCTCGCCTTTTTTTAGGACAATTCAACTGAACTGAGCTGTTTTGACCCCCCCCCTGAACTCCCTCCACCTGTCTGATTTCTTGTATTCTTAGTTTTCTCTTTTCTTTTGCACTATTTTCCAGTTCACTACATGAAGAAAGTGGAGGAACCCACCCCCTGTACGGCCACGGTGTGTGCAAGTGGCCCGGCTGTGAGAACATCTGCGAGGACTTCGGACAGTTTTTGAAGTAAGAACATGTTATACTGCTCACCTCCTCCTGCTACCACCACGTGGGGGATTTGTGCGCCTGTTTTATCGAGAAACACACAAAAGTTCCCCCCCCCCTACACCACAGCAGCTTCTTTTCAGCAGCTTCTTTCTGCGGGTACAAAGAAAACAGAGGCTCTCACCGAGCGCACTCTGACCCCGCAGACAGCCAGTTGTCAGGGTGCAGGATTCAAACCAACTCTGATCCATAACAAATCTCCTTCCTGCCGTGGAAGGGCCTGATAGGTTTGTGAAAAAACGTCAAAAGCTAATGGTAACCCGCACGGCCGCACACTTACCTTCCACAACAAAGGCCCCCATTCACTGTTGTCATGGTGCAGGCGCCAGAGCGAATTAACTCTTCATGCTCCATCAACAATTCAGTTAATTAGCTCATTTGTAATTGGCCGGCTTTGTTGCCAGGATGTTAGTGGGGTGACATCAAAGGAAGAAGGTGTTTGCAGCGCTGCCGATTACAGGTTATCACATTGCCACTCACTAAGAGTCTCTCCCTCTCTCCCTCTCACTATCACTCTTTCCCTGCCTCCCTGCTCTCACACAGAGAAGAAAAGAAAGGGGAAAGCTTTAATTTGAATATTCTAATTAGATTTGTAATTAACTGTGAAATAACGATCTGGCGAGTGTTTTTCACCGGCTGTAAATGTCCATGTGAATTCGCATAAACTATTGAAATCGGGACATTGTTCCGGCGTATTTTCCAAATTATGCATTTCTCTACAGTAGTGACTGTAATAAGTTGCAGAACGCTAGAAAATGTACTGATAAAAGAAACTAGTCCACCCATGGGGGAGCTGCTGCAGGATTTAGGTCAGGCTTTTGCTAATTCCACAGCAGCTTGTGAATTAAAGCTAAAAGGTGTCTCTTTGAAATGAGACGACTCTAATAAAAATGGTGTTTACCAGTATTTGAAACACGCAACCTGACATGACATTAAGCTGCTTTCTCACACTCCATCAACGCACACAATGCTCTCAAAAGAAAGAACAATCGACAGTGATGGATTTAAAATGAATCAGAGGTGAATATATATTCCAACCATTGCTTGACAAGTGTGTTTGCTTATCCCGTGTGGAAAATGTGCCACATACATGTCAATGTCAACATCCATTTTCTGCAGCAGCACATCCATAGAAGCGTTGCTTATGAAAAGCCTGCTTGCTGTGTGCAAAGCATTGTCTAACCTCAGCTAGTCCAAGAGGAAGAGTTTGCCTTGCAGCTCTGGAAGAAATGTGTGTGTGAGAAGGCAAGATGGTATCAGATTAGCAGTTGTTCTGATATCTTGTCCTATCACCTCAGTACACTTACTTACAGGAGACATCAGTCTATCCCTCAGCACTGTATGCTCTGAGGATACTGTGTCTAGGTAGCTTAGCTTGGTTGTTTAGGCGAGGGGCGAGAGATGTGTGAAGCGATGTGCCGGTGAATCCGGTAAGCTGGTAAGCTAACGCAAAAGGATGTTGTAAAAATACTGAGCACAAAAAGACAAACGGAGGGAAACGGGTAGACAAGAAACTTGAAACACAGGTTGGCAGATATTGGTTGCTACAAAACGGAACAGAGTCTTGGTTCAGCAACACACACACACACACACACACACACACACACACACACACACACACACACACACACACACACACACACACACACACACACACACACACACACACACACCTGCAAGTGAGAGGCTGGCTCTTATACTGTAACCCAGCCACACATGAAAACAAGCACCAACAAAGAAGCCAGACTCGTCATCAGAACAAAGATGGCTGCTCCGTGGCGTGCCTTGGAGCGATGATTGTCGGTGTCAGAGGGAGCACTTTCATGTTTCTGGAGATGCCAGTCTCACACACACGCATACACACACACACACACACACACACACACACACACACACACACAGTTTAAACGGGGTTACATAAAGCGCATGTCACATTTAGATGACAGTTCAGATGTTGGTAGTTGGGAGAGGGTTACGGAGAAGGGAGGAGGGGGGGTTACCCAAGTCAAGCTGGAGTCTCGTAGCTCAGCTCAGCGGCGGTGACACGTTTAGTCATCTATTGTTTTGTTGCATGAAGAAACTTGTCAAGATCAGCATTTAATAGCTCCTCAGCGCGCTTTCAAGTCGTTCTCACCTGGAAAAGGTAGCCGCGAGGTGGCTGGCACCCTGAATTAGCTCTCTGAAGTTCAAAATGAAATAATATTGCCTGGGAATGTTTCTGGGTGTGTGTGTATGTGTGTGTGTGTTAGTTGCAAGAGAATAAGAGAAACATTAATGCTATGACTGGAGCTATTTTTGTAGGCACCCTTTATGGCAGACATAAAAAGAAAAGGCAATTAACTTTTGAACATTTAGCCACTTTATGTGTAGCATTAGCATAGCTTTATGACGCCTGTACAAAACCACCTACTTCACTACACTAATTGGTTTAACTCACTCCTGATTTCATGCTTATGTCAGCTTGAATACATGAAACATAACAAAACACAATATTTTGATATTTTATCTCAAATAAATACATGTTTTCCTCCCTTTTTCTTTTCGCATTTCACCTCTTATTTCAATATCCTCTCACCTCAATATGCTCCAGTCTAATCTGCACACAAAAGTCCAGTACACACACACACACACACACACACACACACACACACACACACACACACACACACACACACACACACACACACACACACACACACACACACACACACA